ACTAACTCAGGACCTTGCAGTCCGCACGCTGACGCTCTATCCACTGAGCCAAACCGGTTTCGGCAAGAATTTGCCAACTTTGTAACACAATTTATGGCTTTTTTGTGTTACAGTTAGTTTTCAATAGAGAAATGGCACCAGTCCAATAAAGAAATGGCAACAGCCCAGTTTCATGATCAGAGCTGACATCCATTTATTGGTCTCATACTGACTTCCTACTAGGGTAATAGCATCATGTGAAAATAATAGAATGCAGTTAACTGAGTATGTCTTGTGGTCATTATATGGAATAGTAGATGTAGAAAAAAATCAGAAGAAATTTTATACTGCATATAGTTTATGAGTATTTATTATTATAGCTACATCAATCTGTACAACTTATAAAAATCATGATACTGACTCATTACATATTTAATAAGCTCCTCTGATATACCAATGACTGTAATAGGTGTTTTTAAGGGAGAGTGCAAAAAATAGTAAGACATAATTCTGAACTTTAAGTGACAGGTAGTTTAGTTAGAATTGTCAGAAATAAATGCAATCACTTATTTCATATTGATGCCATAGTGTTTAAATCCAAAGTGCTGGAAGTCCTGTAAAATACGTATATTCCTTTTGCTCTTTCCTTTAAAAGTATTTCATTCTATTAGAATTTGACGGCTGGTGAGGATCAGCTGAAAAGCCAAGAACAAACCTTGTCACTATATGATACAAAGAAACACATGCGGTCTTGTTCCTTCGGCTTTGTGCTTCTCCATGAAGTTGATGGTGGGTGGCCTTTGGCTGTAAGAGTAAAATAATACACGTATGTGTTCTGAGTTCCAACAGTGATCCAATATGGACTGTCTTAGTATCTGATTATTCTTAGCTCAATGTCTGGGCAAACACATGAGACTCAACACTTCACTCCACCTTAAACTCTCTAATTTCTGTCCTATATGAGAGGTGTATTTCTTCAATATTCTTGAATTTCTACTTTAAGCGTCTCTCTCTCTGTTCGCTCAACTTTTTTTTTTTTTTTTTACTTTCCTATCCTATTGACTGTACAAGTTTTACTTTTCTTTCAGTCACACTTTCTTAAGGTCAGAGTGAAACTAAGAGACTAAGAATTAAACAGTAAAACCAGGGTGGGCGCTATTTTCTGACTCTCCTCCCACCATGCCTCTTGTCCTGCAAGCTGCAGATTTCTCTGAAGAGATTCCAGCATTTGTTTGAAACCCTAGAGCTCTGGACCAACAGCTGGCATATGTCAAAATTACTGTAGGGTTGAACTATTCTGAAAGCATTGAAACATAATGAGATTTGCCTGAAAAATTATTATTAGCACATCTTAAAGACTTAGATCAAGTTTTGCCTGTTCTTAGGCAAAAGTGTTAAATATGTTAATGGTGTGGCTTAAGACAAGAATACTCTTCCTGCAAGTGTGAATGGCACAGAAATCAATTTGTGGAAGTAAGAACATCTGAACTGTAAATACCAGTATATGTGGTGCTGTTGTCAGCAAGTGGAGCTGTTTAGAGAGCAGTAATAACCTCTCCCTGATGGTTGGACTGACAATAAAAGGGCATGTCTCAGGGGACTAAATGAGCTTCAAAGGATAATCAGACCTGAAACTGTGTATCTTAACCCCTTTATTTCAATACCCCATCTTACTGAGGCTTCCAGCAGTTAAGGCTTTCCTTCATAGGACCAGATGGCCTTCTGGGAAGTAGCTTTGCCTATCTGAAGGCAGTAGACTATAATTACTAAAAAGTTAGTGATCCAGAGTGAGATGATTTTATCTTGAATTAAATTTCACTTGTCACTTACTAGTCGCTTGACCTTAAGCATTATTTAAACCAAGATGTCCTCATCTGTATAATGAGGGTAACAATCAGCTTTGCTTTAGAAGGTTTTATGACAATTAGATACATTTAAATTGCTTAGCAAAGTGCCTAGCTCTTAACAAATACTCAATAATATTGCTATTATTATTATTATTAATTGTTATTATTCATCCTAAATTTCTTATAGAATATTAAGCCATCTATCCATGAAACATCTCCCCTAGTGACTCATTTCAGTAACCCCTCTGACATATTGATGTATCTTCCTTCTCCAAGACTTTGCTTCTGTGTGTTGATCTACAGTCTGTGCCACTCCACTCATACCTACTTGAATCCTGCTACCATGATTGTGTAACATGGAATTTGTGGCAACTAATTGACTCACCCTCTTTTTTTATTTCTGACCTTTGGTTATGTCTAACTCAGAGTTGTATCTTTTCTAGCATCACCTTCTTAAAAAGAATCAATGTGTGTATGTGCTTTACCCTGCCAACAGGAATGATTGCATTCTATGTCACCCTCATACTTTATTAATGTGAAACCAACTAAGGAAATGAAATTAGGCTTTTAGAAGTATAATTGGAAAACGAAATCTTCCACAAAGACAGTACTTTGAAACATAATTAATTTTTCAGTTTAAGGACATAGTTTGCTATTTAGACTTACAGAAGGAAAAGACAAATGTTTTAATGATTCCTACTTTTTTAAGAAAAAGGAAAGGGGATTTGCTAAAGTCAATGTATAGGTCCATAAAGGTGAATCATTATCCCTAAAGTTGGATCTTGGAAGTGACAGTTTGTTAATCTATTTTTAATATGGATTCCTCCCTAAGAAATATATAGTCTAGCAAGAGAAATCATGTGTATGTAAACATAACATAAGGCAGAAAATTGGTTACAGAAGATGTTTAAGATAAAGTGTTAAGGGAGCTCTGAGGAGAAAAAACAAATTTCCCAATATAAAATCAGAATAGGCTTAGAAATTGAGCTGGGTCTTGAAGAATTAGGTTATGTGATTATGTCTTGTATATTTGTTGAATACATTACACAAGGGTAGTGTATACAGTCAGTGAGTTTGTCTGTGATTAACTGTCAAGCTCCCTCTCATCCTATCATGCAATTTCTATTTTATCTTTCTACCCTAAATATTCCTAAATCAACTAATGGTATCCTAAATATTTGGTTGCCTTATTTTTCTATATAATATAAGCCAGCAATTGTTTTCTCTAAAGAGCCAGATAGTAAATATTTTAGTTTGAAGTCCATACAATTGCAGCTACTCAGTTCTGATGTAGTGTAAAAGAAGCCATAAACAACATGTAAGTGATGTGCATGGTTGTTTTCAAACAAAACTATGTTTACATAAACAGATGCCAAGCCAGATTTGGCCTATGGAGGAGGGTGGGAGGTGGTAGTTTATTAATCTCTGGTTTAAAACATAGGCTTACTGATCAGTCCAAATAAAATATTTCTGTTATCTGATATTCATGAAAATGAAACTATAACAAATAGGGAATCAGCATTCCTACTAGCCCGAATACCTAGCTGTCAATAACAGTAAAGGTCCTGGCATTTTATTCTAATTGCAAGTGCATACTTTAGCCCAGTGGTCGGCAAACCGTGGCTCGTGAGCCACATGCGGCTCTTTGGCCCCTTGAGTGTGGCTCTTCCACAAAATACCACGTGTAGGCATTCACATGCAGTGCGATTGAAACTTCGTGGCCCATGTGCAGAAGTTGGTTTTCAACCTGGGCGAGTCTATTTTGAAGAAGTGGCGTTAGAAGAAGTGAGGGATGTTGGTCGGTCAGACAACAGGAGATGCAGCACAGGCGGCCATGGGATAGCAGCGCAGGGGAGGTACATTGTTTTGAGGTACATTCCCTGAGGTCGACCCCTTCCAACTCGCCCATCCACACCCATCTATCTGAAACAAGTATATAAGATGAGTGTAGATGGGAGAGTTGGAAGGGGTCGACCTCAGCGAACATACCTCAATCAGATTGAGGACGTTTTTAGAAAAGACCAGCTTAGGAGTACCCTAATTAAGTTAATAACAATGTACCTACCTATATACTTTAAGTTTAAAAAATTGGCTCTCAAAAGAAATTTCAATCGTTGTACTGTTGATATTTGGCTCTGTTGACTAATGAGTTTGCCGACCACTGCTTTAGCCTGACACATTTTTAAGGATATTAGTGTAAGATACAAGTTTTCTGGGTCAGAAACAAAGGAAAATTTATTACTAACAGTCATTGCAGAGTCAGAGCATCAGTATTTCTTGTTCCACTTCCCCACATCTTAATTCTCACATGGCATCACAAAAAGAGCTAGGTAATAACTGTACACAAGGAAAAGAAAACCAGAGTTTAGAGAACACAAATCTTTTATAATGAGCAATAAGCCTGCCTGACATTTTCCCCTGTGAGATACGTTAACTTTATTACAGTAAACCAGCTGTGGGCAAACTACGGCCCACAGGCCGGATCCGGCCCGTTTGAAATGAATATCACTAGTGAAAAAAAGACCGTACCCTTTTATGTAATGATGTTTACTTTGAATTTATATTAGTTCACACAAACACTCCATCCATGCTTTTGTTCCGGCCCTCCGGTCCAGTTTAAGAACCCATTGTGGCCCTCGGGTCAAAAAGTTTGCCCACCCCCAAAAACAGTAACTATGTCTGCCCTTTGCTCTGGAGAGAGATACCATCCCTATTTTTCAAATATGTTTATCATACATGCATTCTTGAATAGATAATGCAGAACAAAAGCTGATAGCACCTCTATCTGTGAGACATGCAACTGCCAAAGGGTCAGCATCCCAAATTATCCCCATGCTTTTGCAGGTCTTGAATCCTTTGATAGAAATGCAGGGTTAAATGAAACACACTTCAATTTAAATGTCCCAGAACTTACCAAAACAAGTATGTAAAAATGTAGAAAATGGGCAGAAGCACGCTGGACCTTTTTAATTTAAGACCCAAGCTAATCAAGAACAATGATGGTCATCAGCTCTTTTTCTATCCCATCCCTGGAACTATATTTCTTCAAATGGTATTACATTAAGGAGATCCAAGATGATGGCAGAGTAAATGGAATCTACAAATCCCCCCCCCCCAAGACCAAACTGGAATTATAACTAAATTATGAAAAAATAATTCTAAATAACCAATTGAAGATTAGTTGGAGAGAAGAATTATAACAAAGGACTTACAGAAGAAACCACATGGAGACTGGTAGGAAATGCAGAAGTTCAAGAGAGCTGTCCAAGCTCTCATAGATGGAACTGAAGGTTTGGAAGGATATCTCAGCTGTTGGATGTTCCCCATGAGCAGTGTTCCCCTGAAGCAGTGTTTGCTTCAAGGAGAAGGGGAAGGAGAAAAAGAACAGAGGAACATAGTTAAAAAAATAAAATGGTAATAAATACAAACCTATCAATGAACACTTTAAATGTAAGTGGCTTAAATGCTCCAATCAAAAGACAGAGGGTTGCTGAATGGATATAAAACAAGATCCACAGATATACTGTCTTCAAAAGACCCAAGTCAGAATGAAAGATACACATAAACTAAAAGTGAAGGGATGGAAAAATAAACTTCATGCAAATGGGAAAAAAAGCTGGGTTAGCAATACTTATATGTGACAAAATAGACTTTATAACCTAGACTATAGTAAGAGACAAAACAGAGGAAACTACAATGGCAAAGAAAGCAATCCAACAATAGTATATAATACTTAAAACATGTATGCACCCAACATAGGAGCACCTAAATAGGTCATGCAAATCTTGATGCACATAAAGTGAGAGATTGACTGTATTGCAGTCATTGTAGAGATTTTAATATCCCATTTATGTCAATGGGTAGATCTTCCAGGAAGAAAATCATAAGGAAGACAGTGGCCTTAAATGACACAAGAGAACAAATGGATTTATTTGATATCTTCAGATCATTTCACTCCAAAGAAGCAGAATATGTATTCTTTTCAAGTAAACATGGAATGTTTCCTAAGTTGGACCACATAGTCAAACATAAATAAGTCTCAGTAAATTTCAGAAGATTGAAATCATACCAAGCATCTTCTTTTAACATAATTCTATGAAAGTAGAAATAAATCACAAGAAGAAAGCTGAAAACACAGCAAAATATTGAGGCTATATAATAAGTTACTAAACAATGAATGGGTTAACAATGAGATCAAAGAAGAAATCACAACTACCAGAAAACAAAGGAAAGTGAACATACAACAACCCAAAATCTGTGGGACACAGAAAAAGCACTCATAAGACAGAAATTTATAGCATTAGAGGCCTATATGAAGAAATAAGGTAAAGTTCAAGTATCCAATCTAATTTTGCACTTAAAAAACCTTAAAACAGAACAACAAAAAAAGCTCAAAGTGAGTAGAAGGAAAGAAATAATAAACATCAGAACAGAAATAAACAAAATAGAGTATTAAAAAAATGCTAAAGTTAAATGAAACCAAGAGCTGGTTCTTTGAAAACATAAACAAGATCAACAAAACTTTAACCTCATCAAAGGTGTGTGTGTGTGTGTGTGTGTGTGTGTGTGTGTGAGAGAGAGAGAGAGGAGGGAGAGGATCTTCCCTATTCAGAAACCTTAGCTGATTGTAGCATCGTCCCATGAACCAAAAGGTATGGGTTCACATCCCTGTCAGAGCACCTACCTACCTTGCAGGTTATATCCCCATTCAGGGCATGAATGGGAGGCAACCAATCAATGTTTCTCACTCACATCAATATTTCTTTCTCTCTCTCACTCATCCCCTTTCTCTCTCTCCAAAATTACTAAACATATCCTTGGGTGAGGATTTTTTAAAAAGAGGATTCAGCCACACAGGTTTGGCTCAGTGGATAGAGTGTCGGCCTGCAGACTGAAAGGTCCCAGGTTCGATTCCACTCAAGGGCATGTACCTTGGTTGCAGGCACATCCCCAGTTGGGGGGTGTGCAGGAGGCAGCTGGTCAATGTTTCTCTCTCATGGATGTTTCTAACTCTCTATCCCTCTCCCTTCCTCTCTGTAAAAAATCAATAAAATATACATACAAAAAAAGAGGATTCAAATAAATAAAATCAGAAATGAAAGAGAAGTAACAAATGATACTAAAAAAATACAAAGGATTATAACAAAATATTATGAACAACTATATGCCAACAAATTGAATAACCTGGATTCAATTGGATAAACTCCTAGAAACATACAATCTCCCAAAACTGAATCAGGAAGAATAAGAAAATCTGAATAGACAGGTTATAACTTGTGAAATTGAAACAGTAATAAAATAAAACTCCCATCAAACAAAAGCCCTGGCCCACATGGCTTCACAGATGAATTTTATCAAATTTTCAAAGAACTAACACCAATATTCTTAAACTATTCCAACAAATTCAAGAGGAAGGAAAACTCCCATGCTCACTTGATGACACTAACATCATCCTATTTCCAAAACCAGATAAAGAGTCTACTATTTGCATGCCACTTATTTAACAAAGAAAGAAAATTATAGGCCAATATCCCTGATGAATATAGATGCTAAAATCCTCAATAAAATATTAGCAAACCAAATCCAGTAATAACTTAAAAAGATCATACACAATGATCAAGTGGGAATTCTTTCAGGGAGGTAAGGTTTGTGCAATATCCGCACAACAATAAATGTGATGCACCATGTAAACAAAATGAAGGATAAAAACTACATGATCATATCAATAGATGCAGAAAAAGCATTTGATAAAATCCAGCACCCATTTATGATAAAAACTCTCAGAAAAGTGGGAATAAAGGAAATATACACCAATGTAATAAAGGCCATATATGACAAAAACCACAGCCATTACCATACTTGATGGGCAAAAACTATAAGCATTCCCCTTAAGACTGGTACCAAGACAGGGATATCTGCTTTCACCACTATTATTGAACACTAGAGGCCCAGCGCATGAAATCGTGCACAGGTACGGTCCCTAGTCCTAGCCTGTGATCAGGGCCATCTTGCCGCCACCCACCCTGGTTCCCTATTAGCCATCTGGTGATAGGAGCCTGCAGGCAGGGGAGGGGGAGGGGCCAAGAGGTTGGCCGCTCTGCCCACTTGGCAGTCCCCCCCCAACCCTGGTTCTCAGTTCGCCATCTGACAATGGGAACCTGATGGCTGGGGGAGGGACCAAGAGGTCGGCCATTGCTGCCCACTTGCCAGCCCCCTCCCAGCCATGGGTTGCCCTCTGTGTGTGGGCAAATGGCAGGGTGGGGGCCTTGGCCTGGTGCCACCCATATCCCCCACCATCCACCCCAGTTCCCATTTGCCATTGGCAATAGGAGACTGCGGGCCAGGGAAAGGGACCAAAAGGTGGTCAGTGCACCTCACAGTGACTGGTCAAGTGGTCATTCTGGTTGTTCTGCTATTATGGTCACTGGCCTTTTATTATATAGGATAGGATAGCACTGGAAATACTAGCCACAGCAATCAGACAAGAAGAAGTTTGCAGGTAACATGATACTGTATAGATAGAACCCTAAAAATTCTATCAAAAACTACTCTGATTGATAAATGAATTAAGCTAAGCAGCAGGATACAAAATAAATATCCAGAAATCAGTTGCATTGTTTAAAAAATAATAATAATGAACTATCAGAAAGTAAAACAAAAAAAGTAATCCCATTTACAATTGCTACAAAAAGGATAAAATACATAAGAATAAACTTACCAAGGATGTAAAAGGGCTGTACTGAGAACATTATAATACACTGAAGAAAGAAATTGAAGAAGATACAAATAAGTGGGAACATATCTGTGTTCATGGATAGGAAGAATTAACATAATTAAAATGTCCATACTACCCAAAGCAATCTATAGATTCAATGCAATTCCTGTCAAGATTCCAATGGCATATTTCACAGAACTAGATCAAATACCCCACAAATGTATATGGAAATACAAAAGACCCCAAATAGCAATAGCAGTTTTGAGAAAAAAGAGCAAGTTTGGGGGAATCATGCAACCTAATAAACTGTACTACATGGTCACAGTAATTTAAACAGCATGGTACTGGCATAAAAACAGACAGATAGATCAATGGAACAGAATAGACACCAGAAACAAGCCCATGCCTTTATAGTCAACTAATATTTGGTAAAAAAGGCAAAAAAACAGTGGGATAAATACAATCTATTTAATAAATAGTGTTGGAAAAATGAACAGATATATGCAAAAATATGAAACTACTTTCTTACACCACACATAAGAATAAACTAAAATGGATTATAAACTTAAATATTAGATTCAAAACCATAAAAATTCTAGAAGAAAATACAGGCAGTAAAATATCAAACATTTCTCATAGCAATATTTTTTTCTGATATATCTACTTGGGCAAGGGGAAAAAAAAGAAAAACCTCAAATGGGACTACATCAAACTAAAAAGTTTTTGCATAGCAAAGGAAACCATCAACAGAATGAAAAGACAACCCACTGAATGGGAGTACATATTTGCCAATACATCTGATAAGGGCTTAATATAAAAAATGTATAAAGAACTAATAAAATTTAACACCAAAAAACAAACAATCCAATTAAAAAAATGGGCAAAAGACCTGAGTAGTAACTTATTCAAGAGGACATATGGATGGCCAATAGACATATGAAAAGATGCTCAACATCACTAATCATCAGAGAAATACAAATTAAAACCACTATGAGATATGACCTCACACCTGTCAAAATGGTTATCATCGATAAACCATCAAACAACAAGTGTTGGTGAGGATGTGGAGAAAAGGGAACCCTAGTGCACTGTGATGGGAATGCTGATTGGTGCAGCTACTGTGGGAAGTAGTACAGAGTTTCCTCAAAAAATTAAAAGTGGATCTGCCTTATGACCCAGCAATTCCATTTCTGGGAATATATCCAAAGAATTCCAAAACACTAATTCAAAAGAAATATATGCACTGCTATGTTCATTGCAGCATCATTTACAATAGCAGCCCAAGTGCCTTTCGGTAGGTGATTGGATAAAAAAGCTGTGGTACATTTATACAATGGAATACTACTCATCAGTAAAAAGGAGAAAATTTTAACCTTTGTGACAGTATAGATCAAGGATCCTCAAACTTTTTAAACAGGGGGCCAGTCCACTGTCCCTCAGACCGTTGGAGGGCCGGACTATACTTTAAAAAAACACTATGAACAAATTCCTATGCACACTGCACATATCTTATTTTCAAGTAAAAAAACAAAATGGGAACAAATACAATATTTGTATTTGCATGTGGCCCACGGGCCGTAGTTTGAGGACCCCTGGTATAGATGGACCTGAAGAGTATTATGCTAAGTGAATGCACTAATCAGCGAAAGACAAGTACTGCATGACTTCACTCATATGTGGAATCTAATGAACAAACTAAACTAAGAAGCAAAATTGAGACAGACTCAAAAATAGAGAGCATGCTGACAATTGGGGGCAGGGGTGGGGTGGAGGGATTGAGCAAAAAAGAGAAAAAAAGAGAAATAACTCATGGACATGGACAACAGTGTGGTGACTGCCGGAGGAGTGAGGTGAGGTCAGTTGGAAGAGGGTGTAGGGGGGATTAGTGGTGATTTCAAAAAATAAAATAAAAAATAAGAAATAGATATCTGCACAAAAAGAGATTACATTAAAATCAATCTATTTAAATGCCACTTATTTAACTATTAGAGGCCTGGTGCACAAAAATTTGTGCACTCGGGCGGTGGGAATCCTTCAGCCCAGCCTGCGCCCATTTGCAGTCCAGGACCCCTTGGGGGATGTCCACCTGTTAATTTAGACCCACTCCCCAGGGGATCAGGCCTAAGCTTGAAGTCAAACATCCTTCTGGCACCCAGGGACCCCTCAGGGGATGTCCTACTAAAGGCTTAGGCCCCCAAGGGATTGGGCCTAAACCATTAGTTGGACATTCTTAGTGCTGCTGCAGAGGTGGGAGAGGCCCCTGCCACCACCTCTGTGCTGGCCAAACATGAGCCAGCTTCAGCCAGAGGAGTTGACCCTCATCACCCTCCTATCACCAATCGCCGGATAGGCCCCTTGACCAGGCCTGAGGCCTCCGGCAGAGGCCAGGGCCGCCTTTGCCCTGCCCCCCAGCTCTTAGCTCCCCCCTGGGTTTCCGATCACTGTCAGTGGCAGGGGGCTTCTTCCTGCTTTCCCTTTCGCCTCCCTGAATTGTGCCTACATATGCAAATTAACTGCCATCTTCTTGGCAGTTAATTTGCATATAGCCCTGATTAGCCAATGAAAAGGGTGGCGTCATATGCCAATTAACATTTTTCTCTTTTATTAGTGTAGATTATTATTACTATTATTATTATTATTATTACTATTATTATTATATAGGATGTCCCTATTCCCCCCCTTTTGCTCCCTCTATCCAGCTTTTGCGCCACACATCTCTCTGGCCATCACCATACTGTTACCTGTGTGGCCACTGAGCATCATAGCAACGGGTTATTCTGACATTCAGTCAATTTGCATATTAGCCTTTTATTATCCCTGCCACCACCTCTGTGCTGGCCAAACATGAGCCAGCTTCAGCCAGAGGAGTTGACCCTCATCACCCTCCTATCACCAATCGTCGGATAGGCCCCTTGACCAGGCCTGAGGCCTCCGGCAGAGGCCAGGGCCGCCTTTGCCCTGCCCCCCAGCTCTTAGCTCCCCCCTGGGTTTCCGATCACTGTCAGTGGCAGGGGG